CCCTCCCTGTAACAGGGCATCACTGAAAGAATAAGGAAATGGTAAGGAAAAGGAGGCACCATTACATGCAATTGAAAGACCAGAGAGCATTTGCTTTCTAACTAGCTATGAGTCCAGAAAGTCTGTTGCTGGTTTTTATGGGTTTTCTTGCGTGGTATTTAAGTGAGGATTTCACTTTGAATCTGTAACCCTTATACCTCTAAGAATGGCAATGCCCACTTTTCATCATTTACTACCCTTTAATGAAGTGTTTTGCTGTTGGTTCCAAAAAAAGATGTGGGATAATTTGGGATTATGAGAAAGAAGGCATGTTCTGCAGCACCTGTGGTAAGATCCTCCTCTACCTCATGGCAGATAGGAAAGGTACCAGGCACACACTGTGGGCAGGGGGAATTCAGGTGTCCACAGTCAAAGCAGCTGAGTAAAGAGCACTTCTGTTTTCCTTTCAGTGTCAATCTCACATTTCTGAAGTATTTCTGGGCAGATGAGTCTAACAGGTCTTTTTACCTGAGAGAAGGCTCTATCCCTGTGATGACTTTGACCTCTAAGCAGGGCTTTTCTCAGAGTACAGATGGTGAAATCTTTGAAAGTGGTATTCACAGCAGAACAGCTGAAAAAGGTGGTCATATTGCAAAATCCTGTGTGAAGACAGAGTTCAGTCTGTGACCAAAGAGCAGAATTTTGCTCCAAGTACTGTTCTTTCAAAAAAGATCATGTTTCCATATATGCTGGAACAGTCTTGGCACAGACACAAATACAGAACCCAGTTCTCTGAATCCTAAATTTAGCATATGGTCTCATTTCAGCATATCTCTTTGGTCACAGGGGTTGATTGATGCTTTTCTTAACTGCATTAGCCTTAGTAAACAAAGAGAGTAGTTTAAAAGTTTATCAGCAAAGCACAAGTAAAGATAACTTCTCAAAAAAATAATATTGCCCCTTCTGTATTTGCAGAGAAAACATAAATTGATGCCGTGCAATATTCTGCACATATCCTCTGAGGAACAGATGTTTTTCCACAGCTTTGAGCAAAGGCTGTGACCTACTTCAGAAATGTGCCTCCAAGATCTTATCCCACCTTAACTTTTCACAACCAATATTTCCATATACTGGCAAATCTTTTAACTAGGTATTTTGTGACAAGGAAAAAAAGAATTGCTTTTCCAGAGGTTTTTTGGTTTTGGTTTTTTTTTGGTTCCATAGGAATATACTTTTAAGAAAGTACCCACAGACACAGAGTAGCTTGTGGTTTTGGGATAACCTTTGTGCCTTTTCAGTTATCCAGATGCTGCCAGAGTGAAACTGAAGGAAAGAGAACATCGTGTACTGCTCATATGTAATGCCTGCCATGCCATTGCTTTCACTTTCTGTCTACAGCTGCTGTAATTCTAGTGAAGAGCTCTTCATTCTCAAAGGTTACACTTTCTGTATGGCAGGAGTGTAATCTCTGTGAAGGAAAAAACAAGTCAGACTTACTAGAATGTTCTTGCAGTGAGTAGGGAGGGGCTACAAGCTCTTTATCAATCATGGAGTGAAAATATATGTATATGCATATTGCAACCAGTTTATACCTTGTTGGGGAGTAGCCTTCACCATGTTCTTGAAGTTTCTCATTGAAAAAAATAGGCTGAACTAACCACAGGACTAGCATGAATAGTGCAGTAATTAAAGTTTCAAAGGAGATCAAAATAATCCCTCCATAAACTGTGGTGGCAGCCAGTCCATGGGCCATGCTTCTTGTGTGGGAATGGCTCTTCAGAGGCTCCCCCTCTATGCAAATCCCAGTGAGCTGGGGCTGATGTCTTGCCCACTCACCGCTGGTTTGGGAATAATTTTATTGATGTCTTCATGTCCGTCGATATATTTAAGCTCCTACCTCTGAAACAGCAAATGCCCCAGACTGTGGTCCCCTCTAATATTAAGACAGGTGGTAAAAATAGAGCTAGAAAATGGAGCTAGCAGTCTTAATACATTTGTAGGAGGCATGATAAAAATAGTGATTGTTGAAAACTAGCTGTATTACTAAGAATGCCTTACTAAGAATCATAGAGTGATATCCTAGCAGGTAGTCCTACTTATGGCATCTAAATGAGCTCCTTTTCAGATAGGGCGGAAAAATGCTTTCTGAGGTCCCCTCTGCACTGACTGTGTTTCTTGGTGATTAGTCTTCCTTCCCTCCACCATGAGAAACCAAAAGAAAACACAAACAGGAATTATTTTCAACATGATGCCAGAAAGACTTCAGCTTTGGATCTCTGGGAATATGAGTCATTTTCCTGTGAAGCCTGCTAAGTTCCTGGACTTCTTCAGAAAGCTGACTGTGCGAAGAGTAGTGTTAGCATGCAGCAAAACTGGGATGTGACTGAAGGGTGATGGAGTGGTGGAGTACCAGGTGCTTCTTTGCCACTGGTGGAGCTGCTGCTGCTCCTTCCCTCTGCTCCTTCCTTTCTCCCAGCTGGCTCTCTTCCTCTCCCTGGCTCCATCCATTGTCTCTGCAGTGTGGAGGAAAATGGTGTCACGTGACCCAAGGCAGGCATTAAGCCGTTTTTCTCCTGATTAATCAGAGTGTGAAGGTTCAGGCAGCCAAAAGTAACCAGGCTTCTGGAGAGGTTTCCTTAGGCCAGCAGATGGGTACCTGCAGTTCAGGAGATCATGGTAGCAGTGAAGCCAGTGGGACCTGGATGCCTTGGCAGCTCTGAAAATACTGTTACCTGCACCTGCCCCAGCTACAAAAAATACCAGCAGCTGCGTGTAGCTTCTTCTAAGTGCTAATATGCAGGGGAAGTGCAACATTGAGGCTGACCAGGAGTGGGAGATAGGTGGGTAAGTGCTTCTAGTTTTACAGCCAGCTCCACATTATAAATATTGATATTTTGTTGTCCTTAAAAGGATTGACTGTTTCTACTTTTTTTCTTTCAGCTGGGTAAACACTGGAGAGAGGCTGGCAAGAAACTTGGCATACCTAGGGCTCACCTTAGTTTCTGACTTTGTAGGTTTGTTTTATAATTGATATATTCTGATGAATGGTGAAGCTCGTGTGGTATTAGGCAATGGCCCCTGAAACTTTACATGTGTTTGCTGCCTATTTTAGAGCATTTCAAATGTCTTTACAAACTGGAATGATTCTTAAAGTCAGGTGATTTAATCTGTACTCACTGATGGACACACTCCAGGTCCTCCCACCTGGAGCCAGTGGAATAAGGCTTCAAGAACGCCCAGTAACGCCATTTATGGACAGACAGGAACTACTTTTAAGGCACTGTAGATGCTGATGTTTCTTTCTGTAAAAATAAATCATGCATTTGACAGCTCTGGATGGAGATATGGCACCTTCATTTCTCACAGGCAATTACTTGGTAGAGTTGACTTGGTATTTTCATCAAAAGAATGTTGTTGACATGCAACTGACAAAAAACCCTGCTACATTTTAGTACCATTGTGGTCATTGCTGTCCTGAGGCAGACAGGTCTGGGAATGTCTTCTGAAGACATCCAGCTTTATTTTCATCAGCATGTGCTCTAAAAGGAGCATGTGGTAGGGGTTGTGTTTTGATGAGCAAAAGCACGGCTGTGCTTGCTCCTTTGTGAAGGACATAACTCCGGGAGATTCCCACTGTTCCCTCCAGCTGAACATCATTAGGATTATTTTTACCTGGGTCTGAATTTACTTTCAGATGAACAGGTCTTGGGAGCCACTCCTCTTTTCTCACAAGCTAAACTTCTCTCTTGATTACCTTGGATTAATTTGTCTTGGTGTGGGTGATGGATGGGAAGGTGTGTGCTGACAGCTGCAGTTGCTAATCCCAGAGGAATCCCATGGTGCCAAAAAGGAGATGAGCACATCACAGCAGCATCTACAGGGGAGCAGCTGGGGAAGCCCCCAGGGATGTGGGAGGGAAAAGACAGGTTGGCTCAACTCTGCTGTTTTGGGCAAGACTGGCTTCCTTGTAGTAGCAATTGTTGACAGCTTTCTTGTTTCCTAGATGTATTGCTTTTGTACAAAGGCAGCTTCTGTTTCTTCCATGTTGCCTGTCCCAAGTGGGATTCATTGCTGCTGCTTTCAAGATGACTTTTTTGCCTTCTGTCTAAGTTGTTCATTCCGATGGGCTTGAAATTTGTCTTCGGGGCTCATTACCCAGAAGATAAGACGAGTCCGACTGCTAAATGGGAACACTCATATTGAGTGTTGAACCTAATGCACAGTGTTTCCAAGAATTCTCTCAAAGTGCATGCATACTCAAAGATGCCTTACAAAGAAATGCATCTGTTGAACATAATTGTTTCTTCATTGTCAGACAAATAAAAATTTGCTCGTGTTTTTAGTACATTACCATTTGCATTTTTCAGCTTTGACTCAAACTGTAGTAGGGGAAGATGGTAGAGATCTCCTGTACACATTCTGCAACCTGGAGAGGATTGTTTGTTCCAAGGGGAGGGAAACTGGCAGCTAAAAAATTGAACCCACATCACCCTTGCCCAGAAAACAGCTTCCCTCTCACACAGAGAGGGGATATGCACAAGAGATTGTCTGCTCTTGGACTCCTGGGGTTGGCTGTTTTTTCATATCTGAAGTGAACTTGAAAGGGAGCTGGGCAGTTGCAGCCGTTTTCTGAGCTATTTTAGAAATTCGTAGTTTACTGTAAGAGGCTGCAGCTGAAGCACGAGTGACCAGCTTCACACAGTAGTAAACAAAATACTAATATGTATGCTAAGAGATTAGTGTGAGCATGGCTGCTGGTAAATTCTCTGAACACATCAAAGAACCTTATTGTTACATTCAGATTTTAATTCCTTATTAGTTTCAAGGAAATACATGTCCTCAGAGCAATGAGAGGAAACTTTGAACGTTTTTCTTCCTCTTGTGTTGGGTGTGGGCTTGGTACTGCCTAATTGTTAGTCTGTCCCATGCCTGTACTCCCATAGGAAGCGAGAACAAACCCATTTACATTTGTGCCATTCCTGTGTGCTTTCAAATTTTTCTTTCTCTTTTTTATTTTTAAGATCAAAGGTGACAAGAATAGTGGAGCAGAGAAGTTAAGAATGATGCAGAGAACACAGATGTGAAGAGCAAAAGAGAGAGGAAGGAGCTGAGCCCGGTGCAGAAGGGACAAGGAGAAGCAGCAGCCTAAATGCAAGTACTTGAATGTGGAAATGATGGGTTCTAGGGTGCTTAACAGGCATTTAATGTGGTGCTTTAATCTGCATCTAGTGCCAGTTGGTTAATGTTTTTAAAATTTTCTGCCTCAGGTTCAAGACTTTGGACTCTTATGTCAATAATTTACAGCTCTAAACAGGGAAGTGGCATCAAGGTCATGTGTGCATGTGTGTGAGAGAGAGAGACAGAAAAAGAAGTCAGTTTAAGTCTTCACTGGAGAATAGAAGTTGGCATGGTGTAGAGGGGTGTGTGAAGCACTCACTTCATAGCTGAACAGCATTGAAATGTAAAATAACAGCTAAAAAATCAGTGAGTGGATTGATCAGAGAAAGCTGGACAGAGGGGGTCAATCTACTCAGCCAGAATCAAAGTGGTCTGCTAAATTGCTGTGATGTAAAATGTACTTTTATAAATTCTAGTCAAGTTCGTGGTACTGAAACTGCCATTTGAAAGCCCTTTCATTAGCAGACGCATCATTTTAGCATCAACAATGATGCCTCCTGCATGTGTTATTTTTTCATTACGTATTTTTGTCTTGGCAAAATAAGGGCTTCTGCAAATGCAGGTATGTGGACTGAAAAGAGGTGTCTCCAAGAGTTTAAGTGTTTTTCTATGTGACTTCTGTTATCCCACCTGTGTCAGCAGACAAACTTTTGCTGATATCCTATGTCATCTTCAGATGAAGGTTTTCCTAATACAAGTGTACCAGAAGAATATTTTCTGCCATAAAGAAGACTTTATCTCAGTTGCATTTAGGGGAGGCTAGCACACTGTTCTGAAATAATGTTTATATTTATAATCATTCAGTGCCTGCAAAGCTTTAATAAGTGCACTGTGTAGAGATGGAGGAGCTGCCTGGGAGTTCTGCCTGGCAAACAAGTAACCTTGTCCCGTGTTCCCTGCAGCTCCTTCCCAGGTGGGTGACAATGCCTGTCGAAAGGATGCGGATGCGGCCCTGGCTGGAAGAACAAATCAACTCTAACAGAATACCGGGGCTGAAATGGCTAAATAAGGTAAGGGGGGTGTGCATGCATGTGCTGAAGGGGAACTCCATAGCTGTGGCTGAGGTCTGCATAGGTAAATCAGCTCATTCCTGGTTTTCAAAGGGGTGACAGGGAGGAAGGGCAAAGCTGAATGCTTCCTGCTCAACCTGTTCCTCCAGTCTCGCCTGCCAGATCTGAAGCGTCCTGCTTTGGCCTGGTGGATTCATGGCTCATTTGAAAACATTTTCCAGCTCTTTGTTGTTGAAGTGAGTGTTTCTGGAGACTCTGCTTGGACTTATTTTTTACCTGGGAGCACACTGTTCAATAAGTAGCATCAGAGGGATGTGTTCAAAATACTCTCTTGAGGAGGAAGACTATATTTTGTGTTAGACTCTGAATTGAAGCAACAATCTGCTGTTTCAGACTTGTGTGACTTCTCTGACACTTCTCAACTCGGGAGAAAATAGGGTGACTTTTCCCCTGCCAGACTCAAACCTAATATCCCTGGTCCTGAGCTCTTACTAAGTGCTCAAGACACTTTGAGAGCGCAATCGTGAGCTCAAAAACGTCAGTGCCCAATTTGAATTTAAATTGATTGGTTGAGTAAAATCTAGGAGTGTATTTGAGACTTTGAATAGTAATGAACTGTGGAAATGTGGCATGCTTTCTGCACTATGCAGGAGAGTAATTCACCACACTGAAAAGCATGAAGCTGTTTTTGCTACAGAGGCTACTGTATTATCAGAATGGGTGCAAATGCACAAAATCAGGGACAGAAACCTGCCTGTCTGGTTAAGTCACTAAGACAAATAGTCTGGTATCCTCCCTATAGCAGTAGTAGTTGTGGTACTCAGGTGCTCATTTTTAAAGTTGAAGAATGACGATTGAAATTGCTACCTTTCCTTTCAGTTCCAAAAGCTAGAAATGCTCATGACTATGAAATTATCAGGAGCACTTTAAATTTCATCTATGAACCTTGTTTCTCAGTAGCTTCCTGCATCAGTGACTCTCATGCTGTGGCTGGGTAAATAAATATTGCTTTATCCATTCCCTTGTTAGCTGCGCTGTGAATTTGAGTAGGTCCTTGTTCTTGCATAATGGGGTCACAGCTGAAGAGGAGACTGGTTTTTACTGTTGCCTTTGTAATTTGAGTCCCATGTTCAGGTCTTTCTTCTTGAATATCTCTATTTTGGTGTTAGGTTTCCTACTGACAGTCTATGTCTGCTGTCCTTTGCTGGGTGTTCCTGCCTAATCCTGAAATAATTTCTCTGCCTTGACGTTTATTAAACTCTGATTCCCCATTTCTAACCTCTGATTTGGCATCAACCTGGATTGCCTTTCCTCCAAAAGAAATCTGCAAGAAAATTGCACTCCTGAGCATTTCTATGTAAAAGTGTTTGCACATTCATTCCAACAATGGATCATTAAACCAAAAATATTTCTATTTTTACTGTAAATCCTGACCATAAACAAAGCCATGCATGGAATTAATGAAGTGTCATGTATATCACAGCCTGTTCTATACCCACAGAATCAACGTTATAGGCTGTAGTATTTTAATCAGAGTTTGGTAAAGGATAGTTCACAGTTTAGATAAGAAGGTGTGTCAGATTATCAAGGGAATGAAACTCATGTGTATGCACAGCTATTAAGGAAATAAGGTTTAAATATTAAGGAAATTATTACCATTCTGGGTTGTCATTGGCTGTCTGTTCTTGGGGATGGGGCTTTTTCTGAACTGAAGAAAGAATTAAATTTCTCTCAATAAGAAATGACAAATCAGGTACAGGTGACACGTAATTCTTTCCCCTACTGTCAGTTCATCATCATACTTCCAGAACAAACCCCTCCTTATAGGGCTTAAAGCATAAATACTTGTGTACCTCTTTGGTGAAAATGTTGTCCTCCTGAGTGGCATGAAGGAGAAAGGGAATTTCTTTGCCTTCCCAGAGAGACAAAATTGGGAGGTGTTAATGAAACAACATAGTTCAGCAGAGGGGATGTGAGGAGTATGAGAGGTCAGTGTTCCTCATGGATCTGGAAAAGGAAACATTCTGAGCTGTAACAGAGGCAACCTACTGCTTTGATGGATGCTTGGAGTATTGCCTTGGAGATGGATGCTGCTGTTTAAGATTTGTCCTATGACTTTGTAGCTAATATATGGTCTCACACTCAAGCATTGCTCCAAGCATTTTGCAGTGCCAGAGTTCCAAGTGATCACAGATCACAGAATATTTTGGGTTGGAAGGGACCCAGGAGGATCACCAAGTCTTACTCTTAAGTGAATGGCCCAATCACAACCTTGACATTAGTAGTACCATGCTGCTGTAACCAGCTGAGGTTTGATTTAGTTTACTTTTCATGCCTGTTTCTAAGAATGTCACAGCTTTTCCCTTTTGATATTCCCACTGGAGTTTGGTAGCAATTCCTGTTACAGTGCAAAATTTTTGTGGGTTGTGTTTTTGACTTTAGGTAAGGCTAATGTTTTAACAGAAACACAAGATTCCTACACGAAAGTCCTGTGATGGAATGCTGGACCAGTCAGCACATGGCTTTCCAAGTCTAAGAGAAAGCACTGATGACCTCTTACTGTTAAGGGTCATTATTAGACAGCACTGGCTGAAGAAGAATATAGGTAATGTTTGATAATGTATGAAATATAGAAGTATTATTTAAATAGAAAATACCCAGGTAAACTAGAGCAGAGCACTCAACTACATTGTACTGATGTAATCAGCTATCTTTGCAGGATTTCAGGGAAGATTAGATATTTTGTAGTTGATGAGAAAATCTGTAATTTCTGTATAGGTGTGCAAACTTATATATGTATTATAAAATTATTATACACATAGCTTCTATGATTTTGTTATTTGTGGTATAATTCTTGTGCTTCAAGACATCTGGGATTGGGAAGAACTTTCTGTAATGAACAGAAGCACTGTAATGACCACTTAGACTGCTGTTGAGTGTCCTTGCTGCTTCTTTTGAGGCTGTAAGTACAGTTGATGATGACAGGATGCTATGTCTGGAGTCTTGTTCAGTCTGCTAAGTTTTGAATTATCATACGGTCTATTTTAATCTGGTCTATTCTTAAAGTTCTGTTGATAGAAACTGTTTTCTGTTGAAGTGATGATTTTTTTTTTCCCATGCTTATTATAGTCTATGAAAGAGTAAAGGCAGAGAAGCTTATTCTAGGTCTGATGAATACAGTGGTGTTGTGGACCACAAATAGTGGCTTTGAGGCTTTCTTTCGATTGCTTTGAGTTGGGGAAAGTATCTCTATTGATGATTTACTTATATGTAGAGGGAAGAATAAAGAGGCAAAAGACACGTGACAGAAGTGATGTAACTACATTAAGAGGAATATTGAGTATGAGGTCTTGAGGGGAATGAGGAACATGTTAAACAACTGCTTGCGCCAAATTAAAGATGAAGCCAAGCAAGAAGGGAAGAATGCAGTTCTGAACAAGCAAATATGACAGAAAGGATTAAAGATAAATTGAAGGACAAAATGCAGGCTCAGAAGAAGAAAAGATCACATGGAAGGAAGGGAAATAAACCTAACCTTGGCATGAGTGAAATATTAACCAGACAGTCAGGAAAGAAAAGTGATTGTTGGGGGAAGGGGAAAGGGTGAAGGATTCATCTCACCCGGCCAGATATCTACAATGCAGTCGTTTAAATGAGAGCTGCCTGTCTAGGGTTGTCGGTAGTCAGTAGAGAGAAACAGGCTCTTTTAGGGTGAAATTCAGGCAGCACAGCTCAGGTGGCTGCTGCAGGAGGAGGGTGCACTTTGCCCTGGAAGTACTTTTCTCTTCATAGACTGATAATTGGATGTGAACCTGCAGTGAACAGAGTTTATAGTGCAAGATATCTGCATGTGAAGCCAGATAAGTATTCTTCCTAACAGGGGAGAAAAAACAAGTGTTGTGGAATGAGCTTGGTTTGTATGGTTTTGCAGAAAACAGCATGAAGAGTTCTGAAGCAGCTCTCTAGGTCAGGACAAAGGAATTCATTACCGTGTTGTACGACATAAAAGCACATCTGATCCAGCATCCTGTGTGCTAAGTGCTTGTGGAAGGGGTGTAGGAAATGTGTTATTCAAGCTCTGAAAGTCATTTGGCCCCCAGAGCTGGAGCTACATCCTAAAACTATATCTTTAATAGTTGCCAGGGATCTTCCATGATCCCTTGGGGAATCCGTTTATACTGACACCATGTAAGGCATGCCCTGATTTAGCTGTGTGTTAAAAAACCAAATTTTTAAAAAACCTTCCTTTGCATTTCTTTAAGTGCACTTTTCTTTAGTCTAAAGTTTTGGAACTAAAATGTGTTTAGGTATCTTCAATGCACTTCTTCACATGAGTGTCTGGGTTTTTTTATCCTCACTGGAGAGATGTCTACTGCTGATATATTCTTTAGCTTGGCATACAAATTTGCAAGATCTCTTTTCTTCACCATGCTAGTATTTATTGGCTGAATTCTAAATCCCTTGATTTTGCTCTGTTCTATGGTTGTTTAGTTTCAGATATATTCTTGTTAACCATAAAAGTGTCTGTGCTGACAAAACAGCCCTTTGTATGAAAGCTTAGAAATATGTAGTACTGCATGTTTTTTCCATGTGTCAGCTCAGAAAGCTGCCAGGCTCATCTTCCGTGAAGTGGCTTCTGAGTATTTCATACACTTGGACTGTGTTCTGCTTTGGTGATGCCAGCGGATATTTTCCTGCTGATTTCATTGATAGTGACACTGGGCTAGAAGGGAGCAAAACACTTGGAGATGCTGAAACTGTGCTTGTAAATTAGTGACTTAAAATCATCAGAAGACTCCTCAAGTCTTTCAGTGTTGGCATTTCCTGTTTGTTTTCCCTTCCAGGAGAAGAAGATTTTTCAGATTCCCTGGATGCATGCCGCAAGACATGGTTGGGATGTTGAAAAAGATGCTCCCTTATTTAGAAACTGGGCAATTCACACAGGTATTGGAACTCTCTTTTTGCAGGACAGATTTTCACATTGTTTTCCCTTTTAAAGTTACATTTTCCTTCTTTCTTGTCTTTGCTTTTACTAACACAGGGTGAACTTAGCATCCCACAAATCTGGAAACTTAAGTGTTTTTTCAAGGCCTATGATACTCTCTAGCTTAATTGAAGTGCCATAACTCATTTGCATTGAGGAACACAGTAAAACTTAATTGATTTAAATGTTAGCAATTGGGTTCAAAACTGTCAGGAGTAGAACACAGTCAGCACTTTGTAGACAGAGACCCTTAGGCTTTTTATGCCTTTCTATGGATTTGAGCCAGACATAATAAAGGTAAATACTGTGCAAGCTTTTCCATGTTGTTATGGAGTCACATCAGATCTGCAGTGCCCTGGGTCTTCTTGAGCACAAACCATTCATCATCTGTTCTAGAAATGTGCATGAGAATGAGCTCACAGCACTCTTTGCAACCTCAGCTATTGTTAGAACATTTGTCATGGGAACCAAAGGCTGATACCTTGAAGCTAACCTACGCTGTTATTAATTTGCCTTGAATCTTCAATCGCATGTCATATGTGCCTAACTTTTCTTTTCTTGCTCAGGAAAATACCAGTCAGGAGTAGATAAACCTGATCCAAAGACATGGAAGGCAAACTTCCGTTGCGCTATGAACTCCCTGCCTGACATAGAAGAAGTGAAGGACAAAAGTATAAAGAAAGGAAACAATGCCTTCAGGGTGTACCGGATGCTGCCCTTATCTGAAAGACCTTCCAAAAAAGGTAGAGGGGAGAGCTTGTCAACATGAAATGCTGTTGAGGGCATTGTGTTGAGAAAAACACCTACTGCAGGTGTTTGGAACAAGCCACCAATGCAAGCTGCACATGGTGCCCTGGCTGGGAAATTACTGGAATTTAGGAACAGCTGAATGAAAAATGGGCTGCATTCAGAAGAGAGGATCAATGAGATGTGATACCCCCAAGCTGTTGATATTTGTCTGTTAAAGCTGATGGAGTTGTGTTCAGAATCTAGTCCCGGGTCTCCTTCAGTCAAGGAGTATGATTAGGGGGTATTAGAGCTCAACACATTTAACTCAGTAGGGGTCATTCAGAATATGGTGGCAGACATTTTGGTATATTTTTTCAATCAAGGGTACAATTAAACTGTCTCTGTCTTGAGCTGAGTGAGAGCAGTACACTCACTCAGAACACTAAGCCACGAAACCACATTGTTAGTTACAAAGAGCATGAAAAACCAACCCACAGAGCACAATAACGGTGAAATGGGAAAGCGTCAGAATCCCCAAATTTAGGAATTAATTCTCCTGCCTGCCAGAAGAAGACCTAACTACCAAGTCAATCTCATGAGTATTTGGTTTCTTTCAAAGTAGAAACATTGCCTTATTTGGGGCTCATTAACTTTCATATGGCTTCCTTACTGGTTTATGCAGCAGAACAATGATTTCCTTAGTCCTCTGGTATCCTGTGTTATCTAGAATTTTGGATGAAAAGATAACCTGCAAACCAAAAACACAGTGTTCCAATAAAATCCAATTCAATTCACTGTAGCTACAGTTTGCTACTTTCTTAGATTGAGAAGCGAAAGGCAGATTTTCAGTTTAAGGTCAGTGTGACTGGAAATGATGAACCATGGCATTTTTGGGGCAGAATCATACTGTGAAAGGAAGATCAATGTGCAAAAGGTAGAACACTTAATTTGAAACTGTTTCCAGTCTCTTGTCAATAGTGTATTTTGTATGTTTAGACACGTTCCCCTGGACCATAACATGCCCCTAGGCAGTAGATTCGTGTAGGAGCAACAAAAGTTCATCTTTAAAGCTGAGAGTCTGGGAACAGGGGCTGTAGCAGGAGAAGATTCTGCAGAAAGTCCAGTTACTGTAAAACCCTGACATAGTTTGGGCCTCATATATATTTTCACATGCCCTTTTTTTTTGTGTCATGTGGCTAAACATATGTGGGAGCAAAATAATCTGGTTGCAAACGTTTCTAATTTTCTGTGGTATCATGTGGTAGAGATGGGAAAAGCTCCTGGGACACGTCTGTGCTGACACTGGGGCAGAGATGAGCTTGCAACAGCAAGTCTGAGCTTCTACATCAGGTCAGAGCAGGGGCAGCAGCACTGGGGTCTGCCAAGGTGCATGACATTTTGTAAGGGTCACATGCTGTATGGTTTTTGGGATTCCCAAGCCAATCATGATTGCATAAACCACTTTTGCATGAATTATAATATGTATTTCCCTACAGGGAAATTTCCTTACAGGTTGCAACTATTTACAAAAATATTGGTTGAAGTTTATTGTGATCTCTTTTCACATTAAATCAATTAACAATCTCCCTTTTCCTGTAGCTACAGAGAAAGCATCAGAAATGTGATGAGGAATATATTTTGATTTTTCTTCCCTTTAGGAATATTTTTCTCCCCCTTTCTTTTTTTTTTTAACAAGTCTTGTTTTTTAATTTGTCATTCTTCCATATTTTCACTTTGATTTTTTGACTGTGGTTGCTTTCCTTGGTCCCAAAGTGGTTTTCTTTTGTAGCCTTTTAAAAAAGAAACACAAAGCCAGAGCATTCAAGGTGAATTTTTTGCTGCCCAGGCCTTAAAGGAAGGGTAAAATTAGGCAAAATGTGTTCTCCCTTAACTGAGAAGTCCTGCCATTTTGAGGCTTATTTTGGGGCTATTTGTTGGTGAATATAGAAAGTGTGATGGATAGCTCATGGCACACAGGGCTTCATGAACTCTTTCTTCTGTTGTTGCAGGAAAAAAGACGAAATCTGAGAAGGATGACAAATTCAAACAAATTAAGGTAAGAAGTGTCTGTTTAATGGTGCAAGAGCTTGTGAATACAATCTGTTGCAAATATTTTTTAACAGCCCCAACAGTATATTGGGGTGGGTACTTGCGAATGCTTGTGGTTTGGTTAAGTAACTACAGTTACCCGGGATGTTTGGGGTTGTTTTTTTTGAAAAGGCTGTTAAAGCCCTGACTTACGTCATCAATGGACACAGCCCTTGTGTTACAATGCCTGGAGGTTGGAGTCTGGCAGTCTCAGCAATACATTAGCCATTTGTTTGTCTCTGTAAGGAGAAATACAGTAATTAGGGAAGGAATGCTTCTGAACAATACAGCTACCTTTTGGAGCAATTAATTTCTGTGTGTAAAGCACTGGAAATTCATTTTCATTTAGGCAGGGGTCAGAGCTGCACCTTGTGCTCATGTTTTGTCAGTCAGAAGGCCTCAGCTGTAAAGCTCTTCAGTTGCAACCTGAGATTTGTGCTCATTCAGAGCGTGGGCCCAGACTGATGTCTGCTGTCCCTGTGAGGCATGGTGTTTCCTTAGCTTTCACACCTCTGCCAAGGGCCTCTGCAAGGTGGTCAGTATTACACACCTGCAGGAGTTAGTCCACCTTCAATTTTTTTTAACAAAAAAGCAAATCTCAGAGATTTCAGACTCTCAGCTTTCAGTACAATTGATGTCCCTGGGCTGTGTGTAGCAGCTGTGTCTACAATGCAAAGGCAGCTTGGTCCCCTGCTGCTCACCTGTGAAGGACTGTGCCACCCGTGCCTGGGCTCAGGCTCTGCAGCCTCTGGCCAGGAGATTCCCTGGGCCAGGTGAACCCAGAAATGTAGGAAAAATTGGAATGGTTTGGAAAGCGGGTGCTGCTGCAGCACTTGTGACTTGTGCAGTTACACATCAGAATGCTATGACATTTAAATTGTCTTAAAAGAACCACTTGGTAACTATCCTGTGTGGCTCATACAGCCACGTGGGCTTGTTAGCAAGTGACTCTGATGGTAGCTGATGTTCAGAGGGAGCCAGTAAAACTGCTTTGGTCAGAGCAGAGCAGTGTGCCAGCACATACACCTACTACCAGTGATACCTGCTGTTAGTTCTTGTGGCTCTGAGCTGGGGCCAGGTAGTATTCTTGTCTGTTCCCCCATCTGACAGATGTGTGCAGTGGCTAGCCTGGATTTGAAGAGGTGCTCTCCCTGTACTCTTAGGCTGACTGTTGAATGTTGAAGGCTGTAGTAGTGAAGAAGGGTAGTAGGTGAATTAAAGCAAATGTACATTTCTGAGCATGAAAGCTTCTTATAATTGCTTTGCTTGGTGATGAGAATTCCTGAGATCCAAGTTGCATGTTTTGAATTGAATGCCTTACAATTACCCTGAAAAATGTCTTCTAGTGGAGCCCAGTGGGAGGTTACTCCACGATTTGCCTGGTAACTGCAGTGGGGTGGTAGCAGCAGAGGGAGAAGCTGAGAATCTGAGCAGATCTGCAAAGGGACTTCAGCACAGCAAGAGCCTTGCAGTGATCTTCCCGTTGTTGGCACTGCTGGACCCTGTGGGCACTCACAGCAATTGCTGGTGGGCTGAGCTTGAGCATGGTGCTCAGGGCAGTCACTGTTTGTCCCTGTGCACGTGAGAGTCTTGGACCTTACTAAATCCCTGCTCCACCTTACCAAAGGGGCAAGGAAGTCTCCCACCCCACAGGTAGGTCTCTTATCACTGGGCTTTTGGGCAAACAGAGTCTGTCATTACAATTCATTAAATTCTTTAAAAAGGAATTCTCAATAATGGGAAGGAAACGGAAATGTCAGAGCAGTCTAGATAAAACCACTCTCTTTTGAAACAAAGGACTGAACTGAGGCTTAATTTCTACCTTATCCTAGATGTATCCTTTAGACCATGCAGTTCCACAATGAGAGTTATTTTTAAAATCCTAGTGACAGCTTTCTCCATGCATTTAGCTTAGGCTAGACATCTGAACACTGAAAATTTAAGTGATCTAACACCAACTGTGCCAGTATCCAAGTCTCTTTGTGGATCTGGCACCATCACCTGAGTTCTAAGATGCATATTTGTTTCTGAAGCTTGAAAGGGGCTACTAAATAAACTTCTCTGTAATCAAGCCTCAGTAAAGTCAAGCAAGTGCTACGTGCACAGTGTTTCCATGGGGACTGCTGTGTTTGCTGTGAATTAAAGCAAACAGCACCAGATACTCAGGGCTCCAGTGTGCAGTTCTAACCTATCTCTACAGTTGTGACCCTCAATGGATCAATAGCAGCTAATTTTATCTTTCCAAGCTCTCCAAGTCTTTGACCTATGGGGCCAGCACAACTGGTGCATCTCATCAAAGACCTAGTTGTCATTAACACTTAACTCTCCATCCTTCTGATGTGCCAGGAATGTTGCGACAGGATGCTTGTTTGCCTTGCTTTAGTGTCTGGGAAGGTGCTTGTGTTGAAGTGACAATTCTTTTTGAGTAGATCACAATCACAGCATGTGACATCCAGAAAAAAACGTATCACAGTGTCCCCAGTATTTTGTCCCAAAGATAACAGTTCAACAGTACTGGGATGGGCTGGCACTGCAGGTCCTGAGGCTTACCTTTGCCTGCCTTTGATGAGATGCTTTAGAGCAGTGAAAATGAGCATGGTGTGGACAGCTCTGCACCTCTCTGTGGGTGTCTCTGGCTCAGCAAGCAGGGGACAACTTGCAGCCTTGCAGGGCTGGTAGAATAGGAACAAAAGACTTTAGACATTGCAACCAATAAACAGGGCTGGAAAAACTAAACTGGGAGGAAGTTGCATGTGTAGAACAATCCTTTTAAAGAAATCCTGAGTTAATGGAATTAATTTTTTGGTGTCTAGTCTGAAGGGATTTTTTTAGATTCCCACTTGAGTATATGAAGCTTACAGAGAGGCATCTTGTGGAAAGCTCAGTCTGTGTAGAACAGGTGGTGTTTTCCAAATGCTGTTGCCCTGTGGTAATGTTTATAATGTGATCTAAAAGGCTGTATTTAGTGTAAACACTTTGGTTTGCTTTCAGGCTTGCTGTAGAGAAAAATTAAGGCTAGAATTTAGTAATTGCTGTACAGAAACTAAGACTTCCTTTTAGAGAGTGCAGAGATAGAGCATATTTGGAAGGGACTGAGGATGAATACTAAATAGAGTACTGTTTTAAAGCAATGTTTCTTCCTTGTTTGTTTCAAATGTTAATCTCTTGTAGTAAATAGCTTACTGCTTCCTTGCTCTCTGAAGGCTTACTCTAAATTTGAAAATTAAAAATAGTTTTCCTTTCAAAGCACAAGATTTGGAAATTAATTAGGCCTGGGCTTCTCCTCAGAGAGATATTTGTTCTAAGACAGTGTCTTGCAGAGAGCAGGGGGCATATGGCAGGCAGAAGTGATGGGATTTATTACCATCTCAGAACAGAGATATGAGCTATCTCCTAAAATAAAGTAATCCTGACCCAACTGTACTGTTTTCATTTTAGCAAGAGCCAGTTGAATCATCTTTTGGGATGAATGGGCTAAATGCTGTCACTTCTGACTATTTCCTGTCCTCCAGTATAAAAAATGAAGTGGACAGTACAGTGAACTTTGTAGGTAAGTACTCCTATGCTTTTTTTTACATACTAAGTACACAGGTGACTTCTAAAACCCTTCTGGTCTGCCAGACTTATCTTTCCATCAGCACTTTGCACTTCAGGGAATGCCATAGTTGCAGTCAGGCAGCCCCATTTCTCAGTAGCCTAGGCCATGAAAGATTGTGGATGCAGGCCAGCCCCACCACCTTGCAGAGACAGTGAGCAGTACTGTGCCACTGGGGTGGCTCCCTTGAGAGTAAAGCACTTACAGGCACTCTTAGCTGGCTTCTCATGGTGGGGATTTATTCCACAGGATAGTCCTCAGCCTTGAAGAGACTGTAGCCAATGTCACATGGGAGTTAAACTGCAGTCAGATGGCAGTTTGCTATTGCTTAAAGCAGAGGTTTGTATAGAATACCATTTTATTTGGGAGTTCAAACCAGCAGGCAAAATGTAGAAACTTGGTTCTTTTCACTGACACCTCAGTAGCAGAGGCACTTTTTAACATCACTGAGCTAACAAAAAGGATCATCAAAGACTGCATTAGAAACCAGTACATTAGAAATTAGCTGTCATCTCAGCATGTGAATAATTGGTCCTCAGTAGAATTGGACTGGGCTTTTGACAGCTCCTTTTTGGCTAAGGTTGTCATTGCAGCAAGAGCTCCTAGTAATATGACCCACATACCATTTTGTCTAGAATTCCACTTTTAAATATGACAAATATGTTAATATTCTGCTTGGAGAGATGGCAGAAATCATGTGCAGTGACTATTTTTGATCCCCATTTCTTAGGTCACAGGGCTTTGCATAGTCATTCCCCTGAAGTACTTGTGTGGCTAAGGAGTTTGTGAGTAGTTTTGCTCTCTTTATGGCAGTTCATTTAATCAGCTGTTGCTTTGTAAGAGTATTAGAACATGCTCCTACTGTTAAAGCTTGAAGGAGTAGCACCATAGTGCTATTAGTGCTTCCTGTTCACTGACTGAGGATCAGGTAGGAAACTGTCACCCAGTGTTGTTTAATTATTGAGATGTGAGGTGTGCTGCTTATCCAGACTGGAGAAAGAAGCTGTTACTTAGGATTGCAGGAAGAATTTTAATGTAAACAGGGAGGAAAAGGTAAAATAGAATTGTTCTGCAGAAAGACAGGAAATCAGCTGGAGGAGATGAAAGACAAACAGCACCTGCAGAGTTCCTGACATACATGCAGCTCACGGGAAACTGTGGCATATTGCTCAAGTGAGCAGTAGTTTTTGCTGTGCATTTTATCTCTCAGGGTGGGTAAGAATTTGTCAGGTATTGAGGAAAGAGATAAAACAGTGCAGATGGCCTGCTCATTCCCTGAGTGGGTTGCACAATATTCGTCTCTCCCAGATAAAAAACTAACTGTGTGTGCTCTTGCGCCACTCTCACCACACTCAATAAAAGCTAGTTGTTTCAGAACCAGGAAAGGGGAAATAAAGGGGAAACAAAATATCTGAAACATAATTGTAGTAATTGTAGTGATCAACTTTAAAAACGTCTATCTGGTATGTATGTAATTTTCTTTATGCTGGCATTGTTTCTTAAAATACATATCTAAGTTTTGAAGATTTTCCAGTGGTTACCTGGCACTTCATGAAGCAAAATAATATGCAGCTTTTCCCTGGGAAAAATACTTGCCACTTTTCTTTTTCAAAAAGCTCTGTGTAAAGATAGAATGCAGGAGTGGATTGTGTGTATAGACATGTGCATTCATGTTTATCTTAGTTCATGCAGGAATAGATGCTATCTTTTGACTTTTTCAAATTTAATAATTGGTATATTCAGGTTACTTTACTGGAAAATTGCAAGATCTGTTGTATTTCATTGCCTACATGTTTTTCCCCTCATGGGTCAAGAAAAAAATGGACTGTTTGAACAACGCAGCATTGTGTTTGTACAGAATTTAGCCTTTTGTTCCTTGTGAAGCTTTATGTTCAGTGAAAAAATATCTTTAGTCTTTCTCTTGGGTAACTGTGGTTTCAGGTTATCCATCCTCTGAGATGGCTCCATCCCTGTGCATTCTTCTGATCTAACTCATTGGCTTTCAGTTCTGTGCTGGATTAATGCATTTGTCATGTGTTCATACAGCTGGAATTAGAGGAGTTGTACAAGACAGAGGAAATTCTGTCAAGCAGCCTCAGACGAGTGAGATTCTGGCTTTTACCATACTTTTGCTTCGCTCAGTAACTTCTTGGTACCTTGGTTTGTCAACCTTTTCCAAAAGGTTGTAGTGTAGAACAACTAATATCTGCAAAGCACTTCAGGACACTTGGAAAGCACCCATGGTTGCTTCACTTTATAGAAATAAGTAACACTCCTTTGATATTAAATTTCATGTGCTCTTTTGGTATTAAATATCATGTGCCTGGGGGAATAGGAAACCCCTCTGTTAATAACCAAACTGTAGCTTTCTGTCACAGACCATGGGGATTGCAGGTACAAATTTATTTTCTGCATACCATCGATGGCATTGCGAGGGTCAGTGACAATAACCATCTAACTGAAGCAGAAATTTTTCTTAGATTCATATCTTATGTACATCAGAGTCCCACAGTGTTTTGCTTGACCCCATGGCCAGGTTTTTGCATGCTGGTTCTGGTCTTCTGTTGTATAGTTTACATTATAGCATTCAGAGACCATGGGATGGTTTACAGCTTGCTTGTTGAGGATCGCAGATTTCCTTTAGAACTCTCACTGAAACTTATATCCCCTGAAAGCAGGTGGTGGGCATGGAAAAAAGTGCTGAGTCTATTGAAGACTCAGATACCAAGCAGGCTCTTAGGGGTTCAACAGGGTTGAGATGTTATCAGTAATCAATTTTTTTTGTTTCTAATCCCAAGTTGTAGGACAGCCACACCTTGATGGCAGCAGTGAGGAGCAGGTGATAGTTGCCAACCCTCCTGATGTTTGTCAGGTGGTAGAGGTGACAACAGAAAGTGATGAACAGCCCCTCAGCATGAGCCAGCTGTACCCTCTACAGATCTCCCCTGTCTCATCCTATGCAGGTAAGCAACTTGGTGTTTCTTTACACTTCTTTTTCTGGAAATGTTGGGAAGACGCTGGGGGAAAGAGGGCTCTTCCAGGCTAGCTAACAAAGATTCAGAAATGTGTACTCATCTGTCTTCTGAATTGTTAATGAAACTCAAAAATGCACAGTCCTCTGCTCATTTCCTTGGGAAACAACTTGACAATCTGAGTTTGGAAATGTTAGCTGCCGGTTTTAGCTTGTGAGTAGTGGAACAAGAACTTTTTAGGTATAATGCAGGGATCTCTTAAAGCGGGATTTTCAGTGGTACAAATGACATGCCTCTTGCCTTACTAAAGATCAAAGGTCTTTTTTGATCTATGTTTACTCAGTGTCTAGCACAGTGTGCAGTGCTAAGGGCTGCACTAATGGTAAATATGCAGATATGGAGCTGAGGGCCTGTGGGGAGTGGGTCTGTCTTGCTGCAGACTAGAAGAACCATGTAGTGACTGATAACAAGTGATCTTTCAAACAGCAGAGCTGTGGACATCTGGCTTCCAACGTCTGCCTGCCATCTGGATTCTGTGATACCTAAAAAGAGGATGAGATAACAGGCTTCCCCCTACTCCCTGTCAGGGTGGTTATGGTTTCCCTTTTCATCTGGCCCCTTATTTTCGTATAACTGTTAGGAAGTCTTTGGCACTCATTTATCCCTTATCCAAGTCTAACAGTGTGTTCAGAAGTTTCTACGGGTGAACAGACAGAAATGTACGTGTGGACATGCTATATAGAGTTCCCACAATCATATGTCTTATTTCATAGGAAGCGGGACAAAGCACACATTTGAAAGTAGAAAAAGTTTCAGATCCAGCGTGTCCTTTCTGTTTTAACATGGTGCTTATTTGCAAGCCTTAGGAGACTGGGTAGAAACACAGATGTCACCTTTTAAGGTAAATTTAAGTATAAATAGTTCGCCATGCATTTTATTATTTTACACATGGTTTTGCCTTTGACTTATTAGGCTGAAATTTCTTCCAGACACATTTTTATAAAGTATGTATTTAGTAATTTTTATCTTTGGGCCCAAGTGAATACTGTGATGTTCCTTTGGATTGTCTCCACTGTTAGTCTCACACTTGTTGATAAATGATTATGCTTCCCAATGTGTTTCGTCTGCAATGACCAAAGCATTTAGAAGACCTTTGCAAAGCATAAGGCAGGGAGATAGGAGAGTATAAAATCTATTAGCAGAAGGGAGACAAGGGCCTTTGAAACATCTTTCCTCTTTACAAATGTGTCTTGGAAAACTTTTCCATCTATGTAAATGTGACAATGATGCAATCATTTATCTTCAACTATAGCATGTAAATTCTTGAAAAGCAGACAGAAGTCACTGTCTTGGTTTGGAAGTCATGGTGGTTTTCTTGGACTGGAATGATAGAGAAGGGTGGTCTGGTGACCACCTTGACATGAGCAAATCATGCCCTAAGGCATTGCAACCAGCCTGCATAAGGAAAATTATTGAAGTACTTCTGCTATCCCCTTATGCTGTCTTAGTACCTTGGTGGCCTTCAGTTGTCTTAACTTCTACCTGGACCTGCTAGCCCAAAACTCAGATAAGAGTTTCATGCCACTGGCATGCTTTTGCACACATCTCAAGGCAGCTCTCGATGATCCTGGCTACTGTAGCTAGAGGCCAGTAAGAAGTGAAGTACTGCAAGAGTCTGTCCTGGGAAAAGTCTTATTTAATATATCGATGAGCAGAAGGTATGCTGGAGACATGTTTGTGAGCTTCACAGGTGACATCAAATAGGGCACACCAGTCAATATGTCTGAGGTCAGAGCCATCATCCAGAGAGTCCTGGAGAAATTGCAGGAATGGATCAGCAGAAACCTTATGAAATTTAGCAAGGGCACATGTGAAGTCCTGTACGTTGGAAGGAAGAGATCTTTACAGCAACAGCAGCGGGAGCCAATGGTATGGAGAGTAGCTCTGCAGAAAGCTGGGTAGGCAGTGAGCTGAGACACCAGAGCACCTCAGCCACAGAGAAGGCCACCAGTTTTCAGGAGCATGGCCAGTAGGTCTAGGGAAGTGATTATCCCCCTCTACTCCATGCTAGTTGTGCTACTTTAAAAGTACTGCATCCAGTCTTGAGCTCCCCAGTCCAAGAAACTTACAAACAAACTGGGACAAGTGCAGAGAAGAGCTACACAGGGCATGGCCTTTCACTCTGTGAGAAGATAGAGGGACTGGGACTTGTTCAGCCTGGAGAAGAGATGGTTTTGAGGACTTCATAGCAGCTGCCTCTACCACAGGGATGTTCCCGAGAAGGCAGAGCCAGGCTCTTCACAGCAGTGCATGGTAGGAGGATGAGAAACAGCAGGCTAAATTGAAGCCAAAAAATACAGTCCAGCTGGATATAAGAAAAAGTATCACCTGTTTCACTACGAGGACAGTCAGACAGTGGAGCAGGATACCCAGAAAGATTGTGCTGCCTCCATCCTCACATGCAGGGAAGGAGACCCCAAGCAACCTAATCTAGTCCTGTAGCTGGCCCTGCTTTGAGCAAGAGCTTGGGCTGTAGACTTCCTGAGGCCCCTTCCAACCTGAATTGTTCCATGAACCACTTTGGTTTTTTTTAAGGATATATTTGCTCTTGAAGCTGGAGTGAGGACAGAAGTCTGTTTGTTAGAACCCTGAAATTTCTAGAACACTCTTATGACTATTTCTGCTTTGCCTTGCTCCACACAGACCTGTATAGAACCACAGGAACTTTGGCCCTGTGCTTGTGGGTTTGCTCTGTCAGGTGCTACTGGCTGAATGGCAGGAAAGAGGATGACCATAACAGCTGTGCAGGAACAGTTAGTTGAGCTCTTCTAAAACAACAACCAAAAAAAGTAGCCAGATATGTCAGCTGTCCTACATAAATCTGGTTTATTTCAAAACACCTCTGGTTCCTTTCTGAGGTTACTCAGGCAAATGACGTGAGTCGCCCACGTGAGTTTTTTCATATATCCGCTGATGTCTGTGAAATCCTTTTGGTTTTTATTACCAAGGCTGTTGTCAATCGCCTGTTGTGTTTGACACTGATTCAAATACCCTTCTTGATAGAAATAACCTCTAACTTTCCATGCCTGTGTGGCCAGGCTCCCTGGCTTTGCTAACTATAGTGCTATCTCTTACTCAGCATTTTGTTATGTATAAACACCAAGGATGGATTCCTTTTCAGCTGCATCACTCTGTTTTTGTTGTGACATGCTTCTTCATGTCAAAGAATATCTGTTACTTGTCTCTGTGTGGATTCCTTCAATTGATTCTGTCTTCAGGGCTGTTTCTCCTTTGTGTGAATTAATTTTTCCTCTCCTCCCCCCAGTATGGCTTAATTAGCCAGCTTAGTCACATTGGCACATCTTTCTCTGTCTGGGTCAGTGAAGGAGAAGGCCTGCAGTGCATTAGCTTCACAGGGCATTGCAGTTAGATTTAATGTTTTGGACTGTTCCTCTGCTTACTGCACACTGTGGTGGAGACTCTGGCACAGGAGAGGTGCTGGCTTTGGCAGCAGCAGTCTGGAGTAAAAGGACTTTGGGTACAGTTTAGATCCTGGAGGCTGAAACAGTGGTTCAGCCCATTGGTTTACAGTCTTCTGCCTAAACCTAATGCCTAGTGAAGCCTTGAGAGGATGGCAAGGTACTGCCAGTCCCTCTGAAGATGTGCAGGGGCACGATCCACAAGGCGTGATCCATGCACTTATGTCCAGTGCAGAGCATGAGACTGGTCTCTGGGAAGACAGAGTTGCAGGGGCTGTGCAAAGCAGTTTGCATGGACTAAAATGCATAACACAGAGCTGAGAGTGAAAATTGGGGCTTCAGAGCTCTCTTGTCTGCTATGATAATTCATCACATCATGCCCTGAATTGTGTGATTTCTGTGTTCCTTGTGGATAAGCTCTGTCTGTGCAGCCCTGCTGTGGGGGTTGGAGTGTTGGTATCCTGATAGATGCCTAGGATTATCCTCCCAGGAAACAGGACACAGTGATTCAAAACCCCAAAAGCTGAAAGAAACCTGCAGTCCAGGCCTCCACTGCATCCACTGTCTGGGGACCCAGTGGCTGTGCTGAAGGCAGTAGCCATCACTGCAGACTGAAAAGAGGGGTTTTTGCCCTGTCTCAGGCACAACCACTCATGGGCCAGGAGCCTGACCCTCAGACAGTAGGAGATATGTCTTCAGGCACATGTAGGCTTGAAAATACAGTAAAAAAATCCTGTATTTCAGGCTCTTCTGCTAGGGAGGGCTGCAGCTGCAGGGGGATGGCTGCTCCACTGGAACTGTGCCCCTGTATTTGTGCTCTGGATCAAGTGATGAGGGTGAGGGAGGCCATGTGCAGTGGGGAGAGGTGATGGGGCTGGAGGAGACTGTGGTATTGCCACTTGTCAAGGGAGGGGTGAAGGGCTGAGAAACAGGCTAGGGAGCGGTGGCAAAAGCAAAACCATAACAACTGTACCAGAATATATCAACAGTAATAAAACCCCAGAAGTGACAACAAGCCCTTGAGGTAGCAGGCTGAGATAACAGTTCATGAAACAAAACCACATTTATCTCCTCTAGGATGGAGTTGTTACTGATTTTGCCAGGAGATAAAGATTTTGACAGAACTTTGTTGCAGGGCCTGAAGTGGCTGTAGAGGAGCAAGGGAGTGGGGGCATCCCCTGCTTGCTGGGATTCTTCCCAGAAAGCACAAATCTACTTCTTCCTTCTCTATTGCTATCTTTTCCATAATATAGACATGTTAACTGTGATAACCATGTGAATTTACCCCAGTTGTTCAAGGCAGCTGTGCTGTCTAGCCCTGATGTGGCAGGGTCTCCATGCTTCTCCATTGTTTTCTGGTTGTTTGACTTGACTCTGTTTGCTTCCACTTGCTGGACATACATCAGGCCTCTTGAGCTGGAATTTGTTACTATAGCTAGAACAGCATGAGTTTCATTTTTGCTTCTATTTTGTTTGACAGAAAGTGAAACAACTGACAGCGTTCCAAGCGATGAAGAAAATGCAGAGGTAAGTGCTTTCTGGATTTTTAGCAGTTCGGACCAAGGTCTCAAGATCCATGCCCTGAGATATTTTTGCCCCTTCTCTACTGCTACTCTGTCTACCAGTGGAATATTCATTTTGGTAATAGCTAGGGGAGAAAAGCAGACCAGGAAGGTTCAGGGGATACAGACATTTGGATGATTGTCACAGAATTAATATCTCTACAAGTTAACTTCTTCTCATCTGTCCAAACAACAAGATTAGTTTGCATAATAAGGTGTTCTGCAGTGCCATCACCAGTGCCAGCTAGTATGTTAAAATGATGCATTGACGTTGCTGGGTAGAGTATTTTATCTTAGTTGAAAGCTCGCTCACTTCGTTTTCCTTAAATGGCATCTGAACTCATATAACTGGAGGAAATGCTTACACTTATGACTGAAATGAAGCTAGAATGTTTGAGATAGGTGGGGCAGAAAGCTTTCCTGAGCAGTCACTTGGGTATTGCTGGCTGAAAAGGAATCCTTGGGGAAAATAACCTAAGCTGCACGTATAAAAAACACCGCTTGCCTTTTGTTTTGGGGCTGCCATCAAGGTACCGATCTCCATGCGTACTTAAAGGCCAAGTGAAGTTCATTGAGGGCTCTTGGATGCCCTGTGCTCCAGCTGTATTTTTGCATAAGGCCTTTTGCAAAGCTCTCTCCTGCTGTGTCCCCCACCAAAGGCTCTCTGAATCCTCCTTGGAGGACCACCAGTTGTATAACAACACAGCTAACCCACCTGGTCTCTGGTGCCTTGGCTGGGGTGGTGCCCATATGCAGACTGTCAGTCGTGACTCCACAGAACTCCTTCACCAGAACGTGCCATTGCAGCATCTGTGGTGGGCAAACAAGTGGATGCTCGTCTTCCCTTGATGAACTTCTTCCCTGTGATGAGGGAGGCACTGTCAAGTGACGGTGGTTTCCCAGCAGCCTCACCTATATTGCTGGCTTGGGTACTGTTGGGTCTCTGTGCCTGCCTCTTGGCAGGAAGATGCTCTCTCTGGTAACAGAGGAGACACTACCATTTGGAGTTCTAAATGCCTGTATCCATTTTTGTCTCTGGCATCCTGGGAATAAGGTCTTTATTTTCCATTCAGAAGAGCAGATAATGCCTCTTGAGTGCTGGAGAGCCAACAAAAATTTAAGCACATGGCTTCAGAAAAGGAGAAATGGCTGAGAGACATCCTAAGCCAGTGGCTAGAGGCTCAGGCTCCTAGAGGCAGGATAATTCCTGTGCAATATGTGGACATTTCTGTCTTCATCTTGTTACTTGGAGTACTTCACGAAGTTGTGTTCACTTATATGGTCTTCCTTTCTTTCTTTCTTCCCCCATTTCTAGGGACGGCTTCATTGGCAGAAAAAAAACATTGAAGGCAAACAGTATCTCAGCAATCTAGGAATGAGGAACACTTCTCATATGCTTCCCAGCATGGCAACTTTTGTAGCCAACAAGCCTGACCTCCAAGTCACCGTCAAAGAAGAAAGCTGCCCACTGCCTTACAACAGCTCCTGGCCTCCTTTCCCAGACATCCCTCTGCCACAAGTAGTGTCCACAGCCTCCACGAGCAGCAGCCAGCCAGACCGTGAGACACGGGCCAGCGTCATCAAGAAAACGTCAGACATCACTCAGTCAAGAGTCAAGAGCTGCTAAGCCTTTGACAGTGTGGTTTTTTAGCTTTGTTTTGTTTGGTTTTGTATTTTACGTTTCTCTAAGAGAGGTTCATCCCTTGACGCACACGAGACAAACCCTAAGGTAAAGCCTTGGCAATATAAAACTTTGCAGTGTCTGACTCCAGTGCCGGAGTGTTTTTAACTCAGGACTCCAGCAGTCAGTGTGTATACCTGAACCCATATTTCCAAGGTTGCTACATAGGAAAAGAACCCAAGAACTTTGGCCCACTCACAGGTTCCAGTGTTTCATAAGAGGACCAACCGACCACAAGGGAAGTGGTGCTGCTGCGCTTCTTGCTGTCAAGGCTGTGATGGAACTGAAAGCCTCAGAATGGGAGAGAAAATGTGAACTAGCTGGAATATTTTTAAATAAAGAAAAATCTATTGTGAATATTGTACATAGTGCAGTACTAGCAAAGTTGCAGTCTGCTTCTGCACCTTATTAAGAAAGCACTTACAAAAGGCCTTTTATTACCTTGCTCTACTTAATGGCACATTGAAGGTCCCTCTCCACCTGTATTCTTTTCCAAGGCTATTCTTGCTAAAGTGTCTTTAAAGAATAGAGGAAGGGAAAGGAAACTAAAACTTTCCATGTGGATTTCATATGTTCTGAGACTGCTTTCATCATGTTTGTTTCTAATCTGCTATGCTTGAATGCCGCGTGGTACAATAGAAAAAAGAAAAGAAACTTATTACAGAGATATTATGCAAATTCCCAGATTTAAAAAAGAAGAAAAATACTCTAATTCTAACCAGAGCAAGCTTTTTTATTTTTTATACAGGGGAATATTTTATTCAAAGTAAAATTCTAAAGTGAATATAATTTTTTTTAATCTTTTCTACAGCAAAATTTATAATTTTAAGATTCAGTCCTTGGTTATCAGCAGTTATGACATCCTTGTGGCACATTTTTTTTTAATTTTGTAAAGGTGAAATAGCTTTTATGAGCTCATGTAGCAATCAGATTATCCTGTGGATTGATAATAAATATGGTATATAGTTAAATTTTTAATAATCCTCTTGTTTGTCTCATTTTTAATCTTTCAGAAGTCCCAGATGGCATGGGTTTGATAGGTGAATGTGACCTCTCAGAGTGAGCAATTAGCGTAAGCTGCCTTTGCCATTTCTGGAGCATCCATCCAACAGGATGGAAAGTGCTGTGCTTGAGGCAGCTCAAGGTGGAAAGAGCAACTAGAGCTCAAAGGTGACTTCTTCGAGCCTCAGAAGTAGAGGTTGGAGCTGGGGCACCTTTTCAGCTGTTACTCCATGGCTCTTCTTTGAACAAGTTACTTCACAGAAGGGATCCCCCACCCAATGCAAGCTCAGCTGTACTTCCACCGCTCCTGAGAGATCCCCATGTGGCTTGCTTGCAGCTTCCTTGTCTGGAAAAATCTCATTTTGCAGTTTCAGCCAGTTAATGGAATGAATGAGAAATCAAGTTGGCATTGTCCAGGCTTTCAACATTACTGCATGGTGGCAAGTTGTGATTCCTGGAAAGCTGCAGTGTATCTCAGTCAGGGTGCACGATGACTTGCATGGTTCTGGCAGTGGGCAGGCTGTGTCCATTGCAAAGCACTGGGCACTTTGGGCTGGCATGGACAGAAGCTGAGAGCACTCACCCTTTTGCAGTTTTTTAAGCTGTAGGGTGTGACACGGATTGGTTCAGGTATATAAAATGTGTGGACAGAGTGCCCTTCAGATGTGATTACCATTCTCTACCAGCCTGACAGGTGTGTGAGCTGAGAGCAGAGCGTATTGGGCTGATGAGCAATAACATGCACAAAAATGGCTGTGTCACAGGGAGACCTGCTAGCTGGTTATTGAAAAGGGAAAGTAAACAGAAGAATTTTGCTGTGTTCTTAACCTGATCCTACAGTTCCAAGTTTCATCACAGGTCCGTGTGAAACTTGTAATTTTGTCACCCACTGCCCGGTGTCCTGGGAAGACAAGGTTAGAGCTTTGGTTAGAGTTGGGAGTAAGAGGAATGCCCAAGCAGTATTTGGAATGAATCTAAAATATTGCAAGGGTTAAAATTATGTACGTAAACTTCCTAGTTTCTGTCCCTTTCATTTGGTTGTGCATTTACCTTTCCAGTTTCTTTGTTTCTAAGGCTAATTCAGCTGCCTACGTAGAGCCTGACCCCCAAGAGGGCTGCCAGAGCAGAGTGAGGGCTGAGCTGTCTTCTCTGTGTGTCCTGCCTGACTTGCCTTCAGTAAGCCCAGCCGGTCACTGGGGTGAGAAGATGGTTGCCCAAGGGTTGCCCTGGGGTATACAAATGCTTGTTTGCAAAGTAAGAGCTACTACTTACCAGGAGAAGGATTTGCTGCTCTTAGTATCACCTATCTGAATCTTAGGAGTAGGCAGCAGGGAAAGGCAGGCACCCTCAGCGTAACCCATGAGTTAAGTTTTACATGGCTGAAGAAAGTTATGAGGTCACATCTCTGCTCTGGTCATTCCATGTGGGGGTTGACACCAGCATGCAGATGGCAAGCATGGGATTACAGTATGTATCCATAACACTGATCCATCAAAGAGGGCATACACCTTGCAAAGACACCTCTGCAGTGTGCTCAGATCAAATGCACTGTGGGGTGATGTAACGCAACAGAGGATTTCTCTGGGCTGGGACATCAGACATTCATTCTGAAAGCCAGGGTTCAGTTGCATTTGTTACCTGTGCTTGCACAAAGTGATAAAAGCCATCTAGCCTTTAATAGCAGTTAAACTGCTATTTTAACTGCTGGTTCAGCTCTGAAACACTGGGAAGCAGGTGCCTGTCCATTAGCACCACAAGCAATACCAAGTTAATCTTGTGCAATTCTGTGATGTGCTCAGCTGACGAGCCTGCAGGAATCTCTGATGGGAGGCTGGTAAGGGCATGGCTCCCCCTGTGCAGCTACTACAGTGGCCAAGGCACTGACCATGCTCGGGATGCCCATCTCACTTCCTGAAATGCCTCAGGGAAACACTCCCTGCCCCTGTGCCCCTCTGGCATCATCCCACTTGGTAGTGCAGGTGGCAGGCCAGGTTGGCTTCATCCCTGCTGCCTTTTGCAGTCTGTCTGTTAATTACTTTTGCAGACTGGATTTATTGCAAGGGGCTAGTGAGGGGAGTGCTGGCACGTGTGCGGGTGTTTCTTAAGCCAGAGAGAGGGTGCACTGTCTCCCTGCTGGTGCTACAGCAGAAGAAACAGCTCAGTGACCTTTCTGGTGAGTGCTTTGAGGGGGATTTCCACCTCTGCAGCAACAGCAGCAGGTGTACAATGTTTCTGTCAACAATAATGAAAATAGTAGAGGGGAGGAAGGAAACCATGGGGACCACAAATAGTGCTTTGCCCAGGACCCCAGACTTTCTGAGAAGGCAGAGGCAGTTGCACAAAGGCTTGAGATGCAGGAAATTGAGCTATGGTACATTACAGCTTTTCAAGTGAGCTTTTCTTCTGTGTGTGGCATTTTTAAATAACTCAGCAAAGGCACAGAAAACCCTATCAAAGTTTGGTGTATTACTTTTTGATGAGTAGCTGATGATAGGTAGCTCCTTTGGGCTAGTTCTGCTTTCAATTACACACCCATGGTCTAAATAATTCAGCAGCAGCTAAAAGGTGTGTTGCCAAGCTTCTCACCACTGCAGCTCCAAGCACTGTCCAGCCTTCTTGGTGAATTTGTGTTCAGAGCTAATTTTGGACTGGTGTCAGAAGGTGAAATGTCAGTGGAAATAGCTCCTCGTTTTATTCGGGCTAATACTGGTGTAGAGACAGTGCAAAGGAATCTGAATCACTGAATTTATTTTAGTTTTGTAAGGAGTGCCTCTCTCAGACCTCTGTGCTGTAGCTGCTCTCTGGAGAACACTCGACAGCGCCTGCTGTGGTACTGCCTTCATTCCCTCTGCTCTTTTGAGGAAATGTTTCTCAGCTGATTTTTACACCTCATCCTGCCCTTCAAAGTTACTGCCTTTGTATATGTTTCTCCAGACTGTTTCTTAGGAGAAGGTGACCTTTTAATGTGTCCAAAGCAGGTAGCAGGATGGGGATTGCCAAGGTGCTGCGTTATTAACCCCTGACAGTTTGTGCCCTGAGACGCGGGGGAGCAGCAGGAAGCTGGGCGGGTGCAATGTGCCCGTTTCGAGATGTTATCTCTCACAGTCAGTGCTGTTAAGTTTCAGTTTTCGGTAGTATTTTTACTCTCAGGCAATTTATTTTTTTTTTTTTTCCTCTGCCCCCCCCCCCTTTTTTTTTCTTTTTTTTTTTTCTTTTTTTTTTTAAGAACTTTAAAAATTACTGCCACTCAAGTCACTGCAACATTTTAAAGGCCACTTGTTGTTCCTGTTGCACATGACAAGGCACAGGTCTGTCAGATCCAGCAGCTGAGATACATTTTTGAATACAGTTCTCTTGAGGGCAAGAAAATATAGACATATAAACAGGGGTGTGGGCTTGTTTCTGGTGCAAGCCCTCAAGGGCTGATGGCTGTTAAATGTGTTTCAGTGCCTGGGGTGGGGTCAGTCTCAGTGCCCCGAGAGGCTGTGCCAGGCTTCCAGGTGGTCATGCCATTTGTGTGCACATTCAGCCGCCTGGGTAGGGCTGCTGCAGCCCAGCCCAGCTCCTCCTGCCTTCATTTTTGTTTTCCATTTGGCTTCCCTTCACATCTTTTGGTTCCTTTAGCCGGGTTTCAGCCATTTCACACGTGCACTGTGTGACTCCTGCAGCTGGAGTCTGCCTCATATCCTTTCCAGCGTGGTCCTCCTTTATCCCTCCTCCCTGGCTGCCTTGCTGCCCGCTTCCCCATCAGTCTGTAGGGCCCTGCCAGCCCCCCGAGCCCCACCCTCCAATTTTCCCCAGCGGTATGACTTGGTGCTTTCATCCTCTCCTAAGCAGCTTCCAGCAATGCTCTGGGCACCTGTGGGGAATACTTCAATCCTGTACCACCCTTGGGGCAGTGTGCTGGCTTTGACCGGGGCCAAAGTCTTGGACTAAATGAACTTAATGGACATTCTGTGGACACTTTATGGACATTTTATGGACATTTTGCAGGGGTGGTCCTAAGGGAATGATATATACATATATGTATATATTTTCAAAGGGTGGGAAGGGGGTGGTGGTTAATAAGGACTTATTGGATACTGTGGGACCTAAGCATGACATAAATGGTGTGGGATAAGGAGTGGAGAATGTGCTGGTTTCGGCTGGGGTAGAGTTGATTTTCTTCACAGTATTAGGAGGAGACTATTTTTTGGATTTAGAACCAGAATTGCCCACTGTGCCACCTAAGCCTTTCTGCCTCCAGTGGACAGCCACATGATGGAAGGGGATAAACCAATCCACAGGGATTACATAAAGCATGGCCTGGAGCAGCCCTGGGTCACCAGTGTGGGGCTTTCCCCTGCCCCAAACTCTGCCCTGCTCTTCGCAGTGCGGCTCACGGAGCACGAGCTGGGGGTGTGCACCCACCCACCCACCCGCACAGCCCGAGTGCCTTTGGGGGGCTGCATGCTCCCGGGGGGGCTGTGGTACCCTCTCTGCACAGGCACATCCCTGCTGGCAGAGGGCAGAGGAGCCTGCGGATGACGCCATTCGAGGTGGCTTTCCCTAAAAGCAGTTTCCCTGAAGGCTTCCGCTGCCCCGGCACACGCGGTGTGACTCATCCTTGTGTTTGAACTTTTTGCAGCTTCCTTTGGCATTTGCCATACTTTGCTGGAGAAAATGAGATAATTCCTGTTTTGCTGGAAGGCCTTACAGTGCCACGGCTCAGTGCGTTTTGGGAGAATATTGTGACTCCCATTTGGAGACACAATTTTCTTGGTATCACAGAGACACTTCGTGAGCATTTGATGTTTATTGGTAGAGGAACATTTACAGGGAAAATGTAAATGATAAGCATGAGCAAAGCTGATACAAGACCTCTTCATGAGCATTTCAAAGGGTTCTTCTAAAATGAATTATATAAAATTAATTCTATAGAATAATACAACCTCCTGAGGTTGAAGGGACCCACCAAGATCATCAAAATCCAACTCCTG